TGACTCAAAAGAAATTTCATTCGTTGTACTGTTGATAGTTGGTTCTGTTGACTAATGAGTTTGCTAACCACTGTCTTAGACAGTGTGAAAGAGGGGTGTATTTCTAAAGGAAAAAAAGAAAAAAGAAAAAAAAAGCCTTTCTCCAAGAGGAGGAAGGGGGAAATAAATCCTGGTAGCCAATCAGTGTGTTCACTATTTATTGGAAAGGCTAGATACGGGTGAAAAATAACATAGAAACATGTTTTCTGGCTTATAAGTAACCCATTCTTAAAAAATTAGATTCTTGCAAGGAAAACAGATTTTTATAAGGCCTGTCTGAAATGTTATATTAAATTCATGCAGCTTGGCTCATACCCAACAGTGGTTCTTAGAATCAAAGGCCAAATTCAGACCTTTTGTGCTTCTATAAAACTGCATTGCTGATTAGCAGATGAATCTGTTGCCATGGCAATTATGATTTGTATTGTATGCTACCACTTTAGAATAGGATCTAGAAAAATGAAGGTCCTAGAGTAGGAAACAAAAGACTTCTTGGTAGTAAGACCAAATAGAATTAAAACTTGGGCATCAAAACTATGGGAAACTCTATTGCAAAATGAGAAGATCTATGTTTTAAAGGGACACTATTAAACCTCAACAAAATGAGACTATACTTCATTTATTTATCCTTATTTCCAAAGGGTTCTAGGTAGCCTTTGACATTGAAACATAAAATGTGGCATTTAAAAAACATTAGGAAAAAGAAGGAGGGAAGGATTAAGAGAGTATGTGAGAGCGAAAGCACAGTGAAATCTTTAGGACAAAGCCTCCATTTTTCTTAACTTCTAGACTTTAAAAGCTCTGCTAAATTCTGGCAAAGTTTCTTGGCCTCAATCTCACTAAATTGCTCTCAGAGGTATCCTTTCTGCTACATAGCTGATGTATTGAATTTTATTTATTCCCGAGATGTAAAATTCTTTTTAATGAATGCAATATTTACCATCTTTCTGAGAATATTGGCTGTACTTCTGAAGTCTTAATTCTTTTTCTTGGTATATATTCTTTTCTTTGTTGAGTTTTGTGCTTTTGATTCATAGTTGTGGCTTCCCTCCAATGTTGGGTGATATTTGGTTGCATACTCATTTTAGGATTGAAATTTCCTTATTACCCTGCTGTGTTTATTTTACAACTTGCCTGTTGGACAAGCAAGACATGATGCTGTGTTTGGGAGATATTTCAGCTTTGCTTCATTAAATATAAAGGAGACAGTGAAGCAACTTTTGAACAGACTGTGTCAGTACCTAATTATTTGGGCACAGAGTCCCCATTTTTCTAGGTCAAGCATGTCAAACCATCAATATTTTTGCGGCCCAGCCACTATAATGATATGTAAGAAACATTTTTTTAAAAATTACATAACTCAATTTTTATAATATCCTATTATATATTATTATTAACGAACTACAACATTCACTATGGACTGATTAATCATGTTGCATTCATTTCCCTTACATGCCGGCCTACCATTTCTCTTCACTAATACTAGCAGTGAATATTTTAGCAGCCGATTACCATGTCATTAGTCTTGTACTGACTTGTTTAGTGTGTGAAACAGGAAATATTTCACTTTCGGAGAAAAAGAGAAATAGGTTTGTGTTATGCTTATTAATTTGTGCAATTATTCAGTGTCTGGCAAGTTAATGTTCAAGAAGAAATTTTTTATTAAAATATTCTATTTTATATTAATGATTATTTCAGCCCTTTGTATTTAGCATGTCTCTATGAAAATAAACATACGTTCCTATGAAAATTGAAGCTTTTTTTTTTTTGTGGCCCACATAAACTTGAACCTTGTTTATTTGGCCCATGTTAGCCTTCGAGTTTAACATGGTTGTTCTAGGTCAGTGGTCGGCAAACTGCGGCTTGTGAGTTTCATGCGGCTCATGAGCCATGGTTTGCCACTCTGTTGACTAATGAGTTTGCTGACCACTGGGATAGGGGCTTAATCACAAGGAACAACAGCAGCCTGTAATTATTGGAATCGAGAGTCTAGTGGTCAGCAAACTCATTAGTCAACAGAGCGGCTCGTGAGCCACAGTTTGCCGACCACTGTCTAGGTGTTACTAACATGAAGACTTTGCAATGCAGGGATCAGACTTTGCTTGTTTAGAGAACCCTTGCAGCCATACTTCTCAGAAATGCTCTCCATTGTGTTGTATCCATTCTTCAAGCAAACATTCTCTTCTTTCAAGAATCATCATAATTGCTGATCAATGGGGCACACACTTTATGTTCAAGTGTGATTATAGATTTACCAAAATATCTTTTCAGTCATTTTTAGGGATTGAGCAAGAGGAAAATTTTACCCATAGTGGCTGTCCCAATTTACAGTGCCAACAGCAGTGCACAAGGGTCCCCTTTTCTCCCTATCTCTTCCAAAACTTACTTATTAATAGACATCCTAATAAATATGGGTTAGTATTTCTTGTGGTTTTGATTTCATTTCTTTTAGATAGTGATTTTGTGCATTTTTTGACAAATCTGTTGGTCATTTGTATGTCTATATGTCTTCCTTGGCAAAGTGTCTATTCAACTCGTCTGCCCATTTTTAAAATCAGATTGTATTTTTGTTGTTGAGTCATATGGGTTCTTTCTATATTTTGGATATTAGCCCCTTATCAGAGCTATGCTTTGCAAATAATTTCTCCCATTGGATTGGTTGCCTTTTGTTTTATTGATGGGCTTGTTGTTCAGAAACTTTTTAGTTTGATGTATTCCCATTCATTTATTTTTGCTTTTATTTCTCTTGCCTTGTGGTCAAAGACCCCACTGACACCAAGGTCCATACATTTAGAGCCTATGTTTTCTTCTATGTATGTTACTCTTCCTAGTCTTACATGCAAGTCCTTAATCTATTTTGAGTTAATATATGTATAAGATGTCAGAAAGCAGCCTATTTTCATTCTTTTGCAGTTTTACCACCATCGTTTATTGGACTGCAAGAGGGCACAAGCCAGGCTAAGAGACCGCTCCTGGTGCATGAATTTCGTGCACCAGGCCTCTTTTTAAATAATGGAGTTCAGTTAGGTTTAATTTTAACCTAAATGAACTAAAATAACAAATGAAAGTTTTGTAACAAACTAATTTTAAATATTCAAAACTCTTACAACATTATACAGAGAATAGTGAGTTGTATCTGAATACAAATCCCCTGTGAGCATTTTTAAAAACATGCCTTTGTTTTATATTTAAGATAAGGCATCTGTATTGCTATCACCACACAAGAGCATGATGATATTTAGTGATTACAGAAAACTCATATATAGGAAAAACATTTTGAAGAAAAAAAAAAAACTACCACCACAATGAGATTAAATAATTTATTACCAGTGCTAAGATGAACACATACTTGATACTCAATTTTATGCAGAACTTTAAAAAAATAGTTTTAATACAGTATCAAAATTTACACATTTTGTCAAAAGACCAGTGTTCCTTGTATTAGCTTCTGCAGGCACAAAAACTTATTTTAAATGTTTTCAGAGTGTAGGAATACAACAACTTAAGGATGAAAGCTTTTCTAACAAGAGAAGGTATAAATAAAGCAAGCAATTTTCTTTTATATCTTTCAACTATTACTACTTTGTAAAAGAAAGATAGCCTTAAATTATAACCCAATTATGAGAATTAGAGATTATTCTATAATAAATTAATTCATAAATGTTTTCTGAAAGCAGAGTACTGGTTTTTCATCAAAACATTCTAAAAACTAACAAAATTTCTTCACCAATAACAATTATTAAGCTAATGAGTCCATTTAAAAACAACCATAGAGTAATTTAGAAGAAATCTGAAAACTGGGAATTGTTGCATTCCTACTTTTATAACCTTAAACCACAGTAAAAATTTAGCATTCTGTCACAGGCCTTTTGCACATTCATACAGGAAACTGTCATTGCATTTGAATAAACACAAAATACCTATCATAGCATTTCCAATACACACAGTCTAATATTATATATACCAAAAATAAGAAACTAAGCAAAGCTAGCACACCTTTTTCAAACCTCAAGCAGCCTGAACAAAGCTTTTAGCCTCAATAATGAAGGGCATGCGCCAGTTTCATAAAACATTGGATAGCTGCTGTAGACAAAGAAAGCTTTTCATAAATGCAGTGCAATATTAAAATTTACATGAAGTTTATTAAATATAACAGCATGTCTAGAAACTAAATTGTAGAAATTGACATCTCACAGCTGAAAACACTTAGAAAAATTAGGTTTGCTTGTTCTTCAATTGAAATTGGTAATATTAACATCAATGGGTATACACTGAATGAATATGGACATGTCCCCAAGGCATGTCTTCATGAAAAATACATCAGGATTAAAAGAAGAGATATATTTATTTTGATCACTTGAAATAAGTGGTCCTCTCTGATAAGCACTCTATATAAAGTCTTGCTACCTACCAGCTGTTAAGTAGAATTTGTGATATTTTAGCACCTGAAAACAAAACCCCAGGAACCTTATCTTATCTTGCATCTAAATTATGCAGCAGGAACTAGTATTTTGTTGACTAAAATATAACAATTAGGTACTCAAGTCTCAAACTTGGGAAGCTGGAAGATACCTACCTCTTCTACTTTTCAATACAACATGGTAGGAAACTCCCACATTAAATGTAATGAGTCAACTCTATCAACCACCAAGGCTCTATTGTACCCTTCCAATCATGCGTTTTTCCCAGTTATAATCTAAGGAGTCAAAAACGTTTTAGTTCTAATGAAAATATTGGTACCAAAATGGTGATTTTTCAAAGCTACCTTTGTTTGAAATTGACTATTGTAGACATCAAAGCGAGAGACATAAAATACAGCTTTAGTTATACTAAAGGTTTTTAGAGGGAAAATATGTGCAATCACTCCATGAGTTCAGGTTTGCGGAAATCCACTCTTTTTCTTCTCCTTGTCTGTTACCTATTTCTGGCAGTGGTGATCTCATGTTTGAAAAGAGTGTTTCTCACATTGGTCCTTTGTACTGGTTTCCAGACAAGTGCTGCCTAATCCCAGGACACGAACCTGCAGCATCTCCAAGTTTCCTCCACACAACCTTTAAGAGAAAACAAAACATCTTAATTGTTCTCTTCCACACAGATAATGGGAGTTTTTAAGGGAGATCTATGAGAGGGGCAAAGATGAATGTGAAGACAAGAGACACAATAGCCACACAAATGAGCTCAAACACAAAGCGAGTAAAATGTGGTGCAAGCCTCTAAATCACAAGAATTACTAGGTTGTTGGACCATAGGTTTGTCAGGAACCAGGGTCAAAGTTAAAGAATTATGTGCCCACTCAGCCTAGGTATTTGAGTGATACTCTACTCTAGCTGCATGCTAAACAGGAACCCCCACCCTCAGAGGTTGACTGCATTGGTGGAGGTGAGGTGTAGGCATCTGTATTTTTTAAAAGCTCCCAAAGTGATTCTAATGCATAGCTAGAGTTAAAGAACCCTTAAGCAAAATCATACTGGTCCCTATCTTATACCTCTGTTACAAGGGGATATCAAAGGAAAACTGAAGACGGTTTGATCTTGCGCTATTTAAGTCCTGAGCTGATAGCTTTAGGGCCACTAGTAAATTTCTCTGCTTCTCCTCGTAGTTTGGGGCTCCAATCATAAATCTTAGCTACAAAACAGTACAATCTCTCAGACTGCCAAAACAGAAAGCGTCCACATGCAGGGAAAAGGTAAGAATAAATTCAAGAACCACTGAACTAGATACAATTATACAATTACAATATGCTTAAAATTGGGCTATTTTAGAGGGATAGAGTTGAAGAATAACATAAGTATAAGGTAAAACTACTGAAATCACTAATGATATATTAATATAGTAGTAGTAATTGGAAAACATGCATATATACACACACAGTAACAATTATAACCCTCCCAGGGTATTTCACTATAAAGACTATGCTCACATTGATTAATTCCACAAAAATTTACATGACTATACCATGAACACAAAACCAGTTAGTTCATTAATTATTCAGAGACTCTGGTTGTTTTCCTTTTAAATAGAGCAGATACCACAGAGATACCAAGTAAGAATAATACAGGGTTCTGTCTACTTTCATTTGTAAGCCAATGCAATTATTAGTCTCTATGTTCTAGCACAGGGGTCAGCAAACTCATTAGTTAATAGAGCCAAATAGCAACAGTACAACCATTGAAATTTCCTTTGAGAGCCAAATTTTTTAAATTTAAATTTTTTCTAACACCACTTCTTCAAAATAGACTCACTCAGGCCATAGTATTTTGTGGAAGAGCCACGCTCAAGTGGCCAAAGAGCCACATGTGGCTTATGAGCCGCAGTTTGCCAACCACGGTTCTAGCAGATACTCCTATGTGACAGAAATGTCCTGTCCCATTTGGAGAGAGATGTCATAGCAATAGATGGCTCAAGCTGTATAACAAGGGAATTAGGAGAGTCTCAGTCTTAATAACTAGACTGCAAAGAGGTACAAACATCTGATCAGGAAGCCAAGATAGCATCTCTTTCTTGCCCTTAAATTGTAAATATAATTACATCTATCCAGCATGCTTTCAATTTCTGATTTAGAAGTAGAGGGTAAACTCAAGACCTCAGTCACAGACACAAAGAATTAGATGGTTACAATTCAATGTTACCAGTCTTCAAGTACTCAAGTGTAGATTGCAACGTGGTAAAAGGAAATAGAGCAGGCAGAATTGAGCTAAGCCAATGATTCGCCTATTATCTAAGAGGAGAACAGGTTAATGACCAATCAAATATTTAAACTGTTCTCATGGAACTCGAGAGTCAAACAGAGAAACCTAAGAATTTAAACTGTTCTCATGGAACTCGAGAGTCAAACAGAGAAACCTAAGATTAAAACAATAAAAACAGTATATGTCTGTAGTACAGTTTGGGAAGAGAATAGAAATAGAGCCCTTCATGCTATTAACATGATGTGAACAAGTTTTTCATTGTATAGATGGCAACAACTTATCTTCAGGAGGACCACCAGAAACTAAGGCAAAACTTCTGTTAACTTCTGAGTCTTCTAGCTGATCTTACATCATGAGAAAGTTCTGTATTTCTGTTACATTATTATAAAAGCAGATAGTTCCTCTAATAGGTTTCACAATCTTAGTGAGTTTCTAAGAAATTACTTATCTATGCAAATGTCTTAACATAAAGCATATTTTTCTTTATTCTCCAGTATTTGCTTGTTTTTTCAATGTTCATATAATTCATAATGGTGATGCCAATATTTTGAATCAACACCCTTTTCCTTGGCTTTTAAGTACTTTCCAAATATGAATGCTCAGTCAGACTCGGGCTGGTTTATTTTTTTTCAAATTATGGGCATCACTACAATTGAGAGTTTGAAAAGGTTTCTAGAGAATGTGTAAAGGTAAAAGAGGAGGGAAAGCTTTTTTATATAGGAAAATATATTGACACATTCTGACACATTTTTTTTAATATAGGTAAACAAAAATATCTATACAAACCAATCAAGTTACAACCCTTGGTAGGTCTCTGGTGTGATTAAGAAATAAAATTTCTGATGTCTAGAAATCTTTCATCTAAAAATTTTAAAAAGAGGCAAGAAAAGGGACAATCCTGGCATTTCTTTACAGAATTTCTGGCATTAGCACAATGGAGACGTAAGGTGCATTGCTTTTCATTCTTGAGGAAAGGAATCCCCAACTTTAATTGGGGAAGTAGAGCTAGTCCTCAGGATCTCTGGGTCTACTCCTGCCCAATTAACTATTCCAGTCTGTGCAAGTACCTTAAGTTGAGCAATTAATAAAATTTTGGGACATAACATGCATTTTGGGGGTTCTTACCCAGCAGTTGCTATCCAAATTGTCCATGGTCTGGGGTAAAACCCAGACCTCTGAATTACCAAGGAGTTCCACATACTTCTTTGTGGAGACCCACTGGGGGATGACCTTGGTGGCCCCCTCAAGTTCTACAATTTCCTAAAGTCTGTCAGGACTTTCTCATTCCAGAGACAATAAATGAGAAGCAATAGGCATTCCTAGGTGTGTGGCCCAAGTCCTTAAACTTCCCTGAGGGAAATATTCAAACTGAAAACCTTAAGGACAGGCTGAAAGGCTACAGAAGGTAAACAGTGATGCATTTAGAAAATCATGCCATCTAAAACTAATGACTTTTGAAAACAGACAAAAACATATTCATGAAATAAAAACAGCTACAACACAAACAAGCAGGAGACTAAAACACTTTTCCTAGCACATATAAAATGCCCACACCTCAAAGAGATTGATAAGTGTCTGAGAACATCTGGTCCTGATAGCCTAAAGCTTAAGGGTATTTCTAAACAATTTTGATATCTTAATGGACAAAGAATTTAAGGTTAAAAATATTAAATATATGAAGCCAATTAAAATGAGTGATTAAGCCGAAACCGGTTTGGCTCAGTGGTAGAGCGTTGGTCTGCGGACTGAAAGGTCCCAGGTTCGATTCCGGTTAAGGGCATGTACCATTCCTTGATTGCGGGCACATCCCCGGTAGGGGGTGTACAAAAGGCAGCTGGTTGATGTTTCTCTCTCATCGAAGTTTCTAGCTCTTTATCTCTCTAAAAATATTTAAAAAAAGAATGATTAATATAATGTGACTTTTGTTTTTAACAAATGTGTTCCTCTGTAATACTCTATTTAGCTTTCTAATAACATTGTATTTAGCTTTCTAAACCTTCACTATTATATTCTTGATTAAATGATACATATATGCATATTACTGAAATAGTTAAAATTTAGTCAGACACAATGATTTCATAGTTAGATGTGTATGTCTATCTCCTGAACATATCTTTACCTTTCCGTGGTTGATATACTACTTTGCATGACATGAAGCATACATAATATGCATGAACCCAGCAAATATTAAGATGACGATTCTTTTCCCCCAAGTATATTTACAAACAAATCCAAAGAAGTCTGTTTTCTTTATCACAGGGTTTAAACACTAGTCTCTAAGGAACTTCTTAAAAGCATGAAACAGAAACTCATTTATTTTATCAAAATGTATTTAGTAATACATTTTAGACAACAGACAATTATTTAGAAACTTTCATAATTCTGCAATATAATGGCTTATTGCTTACCTGAATATTTTATAACATGATTGAAGTGATAATAAGGGGGGTTGATTTTATTTTCATGTAATTAGGGCGCTTGTCCAGCATTTTAAAAAGTAGATATTCATAAAGCAATAACTATGCCATGATGGGGCTTGGAACACAGAATACACAACAAAGCACATTAAACTTACATTGCACATTTCTCTCACTATAGCTTTTTCTGTCTCACTAAGGTCCTGTTCATACTCTTTACCCTGTTGACGATCTATAGTTTCCTGAACATCCAAGACCTGGATTAGTTGAAAAAGAGAAGCAAATTTCACATGGAAAAAAACACCTTGTTAGTTTTAGAATAAAACCAGCTCCACTTGGTAAAACCTTTAGTTTTCTCCATGTCTGCATATCAGAGTGGATACATATATGGCAAAATCTTTTAAAATCGTTTATTATTGTGAAACCTAGCTGGAATCAATTCTACTTGATTTCAGATGGCCATTAAAAGCAATCTATTGCATTACTGAGTCTCTTGAATGTATTAATGTCTAAAATAATTAGATATATTTAGTTAATTGGGTCATTAAGATAACCTGTCAATGATTTAGAGTCAATAATTCTTGCTCCATTGTAAAAATGAGCAATATAATTAATTATACACCAGACAGTCCAAATGATATGTAGACACGGCCTATAGAAAGGATAGTGATGGTGAAACTGGTCAGAACCCAGGAATATGTACATAAGAATTTTTGTTAATATTAACACTACTGACGTCAAAGTTCTTCCCTTGGCATTCTTAGTGGCTAGGAAAGGAACATGGGGACGGTTCTTTGATATTAGCAATGAGAAACACTGACTTCTTATAGTGACAATATTTGAGCAACACTTTAAATATTTTTCATTAGAACAAAGTAGGGATAAGATGCTTTTAAACAATTTTAGATTTCATTTCTTAAAATTATTGCTTAATAGCATGAAAAA